TCAGAGCAAATACTTTAAAAGTTCAGGACTGTTTTCTTCACTGTAATTGTTCAAACCTTGTTGTGAAACATTGTGGGGAACTGCAGTTTATGTCCTGAAGACAGCTGTGTTTTGCTGATGAATACAAGCCTATGTCTTTGTTGGATGTTGATATTTCTTGTCCATCTCCTTCTTGGTCTTCCTCCTCCTCTGTAACCAACATGTTGGCTGCTTGAAATTTGGAGAGAGAGAGAGAAAAAAGGAACTGCATGCCAAGGACGAAATAAAATGAATTGAGTCATTGGTAAAATGGAATACATTTTTTTACTGTTGTTTATTTAATTAATTATTTTACTGATCATGATGGTTAGAAAAAAACAGTAAATAAATTCGTAACTTTTCTTACAGAGTAATGATAACATGGAGCTGGTCACAAGACTGTCAACAGAACAGCATTCCTCCAATGAGCTGACCACGAAGCTGACACAGCAGGAGGATGAGCTTCTGCAGTTAAGGGAAACGGTACGGTACACATGGGACATTGCCATCATCCGTTGAAGTATATAAACATTTTTTGTAATATGTTACTTTATCAACAACACATTAATGGTGGTAAGAAAAATGCCATCGTTAATACTGCTAGTGGGTTGTGAAGTTAAGGGCTGCGTAGATTTGGTCACAGTGTTGTGAAGTGAAGGAAATGTTCAGGATGATGATTGGTGGTCAAAAACAGTTTACTTAATGCTGTTAGTGCTGTTTTGATAGTCGGCTTCGTAATGCCGAGGTGCCAGGTTCGATCCCAGCTGTGGGCTATGCGCCTTGCATTGGTTTCGACAGTGGTATCAGGGAGCCGACCGTCCAGAAAGCAATGGCACATTGCTGGACATAAATTTGCCTAGAAAAACCACACAACAAAGGATACGCAACTAACTGTTTTGATAGCAACAAGTCAGAGGGAACTACAGAAAATAATCGATAAGTAGTTGGGTAAAATGGAAACATAGGCTTCAGTTTTCATGATGGAAAGACAGAAGTAATGGTAATATCAAAGAAATGAATTGTGCCCAAATATACAGTTAAAAATCAATTGTGTTAATTTGATACAAGTATAATCCAAGTATCTAAACACATGGATGACGTCGGATGGAAGATGTGTTGAGAGATAGGAAACAAAACAGATCAGTCAAACAAAACATAGTTCTAGACTCATCTTTGTATAGATTAGTCAGAACTTAATGGGTGGAGTGATCAAAAGCTTGCTGGTCATATTTACCTCCCAGGACATTTCCTGGTACCTATTTTTAGGCTGGGTCAGCCTGGGACCCAAAGTCAAGCATAAAAAAAAAAAAAAACTGTCAGCATGAATTTGAACCAAAGACCTTGGGGCCAACAGGCAAGCATTTACCAACTGCGCTAGCGCAGCTCATATGGCTGAGATTTTGAATCTGCCTTTTGGAGGTGTGTTATTAGCTTTTTGGAGGTTGTTACAGGCAATGGCTCGTTGGCAGCTCCATGACAGAGGTGTCTGTCTCAAATAGTTGGTAGAGGCATAGGCTCGTTGGCAGCTGCATGATAGAGGTGTCTGTCTCAAATAGTTGGTAGAGTCATAGGCTCTTTGGCAGCTCCATGACAGAGGTGTCTGTCTCAAATAGTTGGTAGAGTCATAGGCTCGTTGGCAGCTCCATGACAGAGGTGTCTGTCTCAATAGTTGTAGGCAATGGCTCGTTGGCAGCTCCATGACAGAGGTGTCTGTCTCAATAGTTGTAGGCAATGGCTCGTTGGCAGCTCCATGACAGAGGTGTCTGTCTCAATAGTTGTAGGCAATGGCTCGTTGGCAGCTCCATGACAGAGGTGTCTGTCTCAAATAGTTGGTAGAGGCATAGGCTCGTTAGCAGCTCCATGACAGAGGTGTCTGTCTCAAATAGTTGGTAGAGGCATAGGCTCGTTGGCAGCTCCATGACAGAGGTGTCTGTCTCAAATAGTTGGTAGAGGCATAAGCTCGTTGGCAGCTCCATGACGGAGGTGTCTGTCTCAAATAGTTGGTAGAGGCATAGGCTCGTTGGCAGCTCCATGACGGAGGTGTCTGTCTCAAATAGTTGGTAGAGGCATAGGCTCGTTGGCAGCTCCATGACAGAGGTGTCTGTCTCAATAGTTAAAGTCATAGGCTCGTTGGCAGCTCCATGACAGAGGTGTCTGTCTCAATAGTTAAAGTCATAGGCTCGTTGGCAGCTCCATGACAGAGGTGTCTGTCTCAATAGTTAAAGTCATAGGCTCGTTGGCAGCTCCATGACAGAGGTGTCTGTCTCAATAGTTAAAGTCATAGGCTCGTTGGCAGCTCCATGACAGAGGTGTCTGTCTCAATAGTTGTAGGCAATGGCTCGTTGGCAGCTCCATGACAGAGGTGTCTGTCTCAATAGTTGTAGGCAATGGCTCGTTGGCAGCTCCATGACAGAGGTGTCTGTCTCAATAGTTGTAGGCAATGGCTCGTTGGCAGCTCCATGACAGAGGTGTCTGTCTCAAATAGTTGGTAGAGGCATAGGCTCGTTAGCAGCTCCATGACAGAGGTGTCTGTCTCAAATAGTTGGTAGAGGCATAGGCTCGTTGGCAGCTCCATGACAGAGGTGTCTGTCTCAAATAGTTGGTAGAGGCATAGGCTCGTTGGCAGCTCCATGACGGAGGTGTCTGTCTCAAATAGTTGGTAGAGGCATAGGCTCGTTGGCAGCTCCATGACGGAGGTGTCTGTCTCAAATAGTTGGTAGAGGCATAGGCTCGTTGGCAGCTCCATGACGGAGGTGTCTGTCTCAATAGTTAAAGTCATAGGCTCGTTGGCAGCTCCATGACAGAGGTGTCTGTCTCAATAGTTAAAGTCATAGGCTCGTTGGCAGCTCCATGACAGAGGTGTCTGTCTCAATAGTTAAAGTCATAGGCTCGTTGGCAGCTCCATGACAGAGGTGTCTGTCTCAATAGTTAAAGTCATAGGCTCGTTGGCAGCTCCATGACAGAGGTGTCTTTCTCAATAGTTAAAGGCAATGGCTCGTTGGCAGCTCCATGACAGAGGTGTCTGTCTCAAATACAACTAACCTATCACACACCTGGCCACACACTTGCCGGGGTGCTTTACAGTTGCCACCCACTCACTGTTCTTACGGTTACTAACCGAATCCGAACACAACAGTCTCCGATGCAAGCTCTTTCTTGAGCCCTCGTAACTTATACCTCAACTGCTGTGGCTCTGCACAGCTCTGGATAGTGTGGTTGGACAGACCATATCACTATGTCTGGCTACCATATCAATGGCATCATCCCCTGTTCATCTTCTTCTTCATCATGCTCCTTTCAAACCGTTCACCCACTCGTTTTGTTACCCCAGTCATAGCCTTGCATCTCCAAGTCCCACATGAGAGTGGCTGAGGTCACTGTATTCGTATGTTTGTAAACATGTTGTCGGATCTTCGGTCAAGTGAATACTTGTTCATCCGTTCCTATCATTATACTCAGTCTAGCCACACAGGCCTCTGACAGAGGTATAGATCTGGCATGTGTTTCTTGTAGATGTCATATCAGATTGATCGAAAATTGGGAGAATCCTGCCAACTCTTGGAATTTCACTAGAACAGTGCATTAGTAAGTTATCATTCTGACATGACTGATGAAATGTAATCAAATAAAGGAAGACATGAAGGAAAGTAAAGTATGATTGGGCATTATCACCTGGAAAGTCATCATCTGCACACATAGTCTTAAAACAGGGGGGGGGTGTAATCTTATACACAAAATCTGATTAAAATATGCGCTTCTTAATTTTGCTCCCTAAAAAGAATTGTAGGAAGATGTTCGTTTTATCAATGGGAACATATTATACGCATAAAAATATGTTATACGGTGGCGTGGCTTAAAGATTATTTTAATATTTTCACAGTCCGATCCTTGAATTATCAGGGTTCAATGTCTGCTACAGCTGGTTAAAAAAAAAGACCATTCTTTTGGTTTTCAGCCAACACAGTGGTACAAGAGTTATGTCATGGAAGAGATTTGGGCTCACCAATATAAATATCAAAAGGAAAACAGCATTAGATGTAATGAATTCTGCGTCTAACTGTCAGACGCAATTTTTTTGTAATTCTAAAGCCCCACCTCAGCTGTTGCTGGGGGCGCTAATATAACCCAACCTATGGGTTGAACAGAGTTTCTGGGACCTGTCCTCAGGTGGCCCTCATCTGAATGGTGGCACTTTGTGTCGCCGGATGTTTATCGCTTGGTGTAATGTCCTGGTGGGGTTGAACTACAATCAGTCAATCAGCATTGGCTCTACTGCAGCCAACTTCCATTGTGACGATGGCACCCTAAACAAAATACTGACATAAAAAAAAAAGGATTTAATATTGACAATAACTGAATTGGTTGATGTTGACCTAATTGTCTCTGTTTATTTTATTTAATCCCTAATGCTTCTACAGTTGACCAAGAAAGCAAACGAAATCTCTGAGTTAACAAGAGTGACCAAGTCAGTGGAAAAGGAGATGTACCAACAGGATCAGATGAAAGATAGACTAAGGCATTACGAGGCGCAGGCACAGCTGGTGGACACATTGCAAAATGAGTTGACGGCAGCTCAGGTATTGTTTGTTACATATATCCGCGTGTGTGTGTGTGGGGGGGGGAGAATTGTGGGGGAGGGGAATATCATAAGAGGTGACTAATGAGGGGTGTTTTCTTCAAAGTCTGAGTGCATTTGTCTAAGAGGTGAGGAACCAACAGTCTGCATACAAGTAAGCTAGATCTTGTACCACCCCCACCTTACAGCATGCTTGCCCAAAAGCAGTTTGTACCCCCCACCTTATAGCATGCTTGCCCAAAAGCAGTTTGTACCCCCCCCCCCCCCCCGGCCACCTTATAGCATGCTTGCCCAAAAGCAGTTTGTACCCCTTATCTTATAGCATGCCCAAAAGCAGTTTGTACCCCCCACCTTATAGCATGCTTGCCCAAAAGCAGCTTGTACCCCCCACCTTATAGCATGCTTGCCCAAAAGCAGCTTGTACCACCCATCTTATAGCATGCTTGCCCAAAAGCAGCTTGTACCCCCCACCTTATAGCATGCTTGCCCAAAAGCAGCTTGTACCACCCATCTTATAGCATGCTTGCCCAAAAGCAGCTTGTACCCCCCACCTTATAGCATGCTTGCCCAAAAGCAGCTTGTACCCCCCACCTTATAGCATGCTTGCCCAAAAGCAGCTTGTACCCCCCACCTTATAGCATGCTTGCCCAAAAGCAGCTTGTACCCCCCACCTTATAGCATGCTTGCCCAAAAGCAGCTTGTACCCCCCACCTTATAGCATGCTTGCCCAAAAGCAGCTTGTACCCCCCACCTTATAGCATGCTTGCCCAAAAGCAGCTTGTACCCCCCACCTTATAGCATGCTTGCCCAAAAGCAGCTTGTACCCCCCACCTTATAGCATGCTTGCCCAAAAGCAGCTTGTACCCCCCATCTTATAGCATGCTTGCCCAAAAGCAGCTTGTACCCCCCACCTTATAGCATGCTTGCCCAAAAGCAGCTTGTACCCCCCCACCTTATAGCATGCTTGCCCAAAAGCAGCTTGTTACCCCCCACCTTATAGCATGCTTGCCCAAAAGCAGCTTGTCCCCCCCCCCCCACCTTATAGCATGCTTGCCCAAAAGCAGCTTGTACCCCCATCTTATAGCATGCTTGCCCAAAAGCAGCTTGTACCCCCCCCCCCCCCCCCACCTTATAGCATGCTTGCCCAAAAGCAGCTTGTACCCCCCACCTTATAGCATGCTTGCCCAAAAGCAGCTTGAACCCCCCACCTTATAGCATGCTTGCCCAAAAGCAGCTTGAACCCCCCACCTTATAGCATGCTTGCCCAAAAGCAGCTTGAACCCCCCACCTTATAGCATGCTTGCCCAAAAGCAGCTTGTACCCCCCACCTTATAGCATGCTTGCCCAAAAGCAGCTTGAACCCCCCACCTTATAGCATGCTTGCCCAAAAGCAGCTTGAACCCCCCACCTTATAGCATGCTTGCCCAAAAGCAGTTTGTGGTAACCCCCTTTATGGTATGCATGTAGAAGAGCAGTTTATACTACCCCCCCCCCCCCCCCCCCCCCCCACCCGTCCACACACACTTTCCCAGTTGAAAAAAAAAAGGCACTAGAACTCACACCAGCGGGAGCTCAGGTAATATTTGCTAGATATTGCCATTCATTTGGGAATTCTTTAAACCAAAGAAATGGGGTGTGGTAACATCCACGTTCATGGGCTTTTTGTTTGGTATATTTCCTACATTTTCTACATGAATTCATGCCACTTCCTGTCCTCCCCCCCCCCCCCCCCCCCTCCTCACTCCGCAATTTTGAACTCTCCTCCTTATTCCTTTAGTCATTTCTAACGTTTGTATGTGTCTTACAATTTTGACATTTCTAGTCATTTTGTACCTTATGGTTATAGAAGTGCCTAGTTTTTTTGGGTATGTGTTGAATGATTTTTAGAATTCTTAGATATTTTGTGTCTTATAATTGCCAAAATTCCATTCCAACACATTTAACTTTGTGTTATAATGTGTACATTTTATTCTCTAGGACATGATGGAGGCACTGACGACACAGAACAGTGAACTCAGAACCATGCTGATCAAGGCAACAGAGGTGAAGTCAGTATCTGATTCTGATGCAGATGGTGAGAAGATCAATCCAAGGGATGAGATTGTAAGTTGAGACACTGAATATTTTCATATATCATTTGTTGTTCATTCATCAATCCAGGTGATGAGCTTATAGTTGAGATATGAAGCAGTGTTTTTAGGCTATCATTTGTTGTTCGTTCATCAATCAAAGGGATGAGATTGTAAGTTGAGACACTGAATATTTTCATATATCATTTGTTGTTCATTCATCAATCCAGGTGATGAGCTTGTTAGTTGAGATATGAAGCAGTGTTTTTAGGCTATCATTTGTTGTTCGTTCATCAATCAAAGGGATGAGATTGTAAGTTGAGACACTGAATATTTTCATATATCATTTGTTGTTCATTCATCAATCCAGGTGATGAGCTTGTTAGTTGAGATATGAAGCAGTGTTTTTAGGCTATCATTTGTTGTTCGTTCATCAATCAAAGGGATGAGATTGTAAGTTGAGATATCAAAACGATGTTTTCAGGCTATTATTAGTTGTTCATTCATCAGTCCAAGGGATGAGGTTGTAGGTTGAGATATCAAAGCAGTGGCTCAGGCTATCATTTGTTGTTCGTTCATCAATCCAAGAGATGAGATGGTCAGTTAAGACATCAAAGCAGTGTTTTCAGGCTATGGTTTGTTATTTCTTCACAATCCAAGGGATGAGATTGTCAGTAAAGACATCAGAGTACCGTCTTTTGGGGTGAGATTGTATTGTAAGTTGAGATATCAAAGCAGTGTTTTCAGGCTATCAGCTGTTGTTCATTCATCATTCCAAGGCATACAGTTGTAAGTTGTGACATCGAAGCAGTGTTTTCAGGCTATCATTTGTTGTTTATCACAAGAGATTTAAAACAAACAGACAAAAAAATCACGCCTGGAAGGTCTTGAGCTGGATGATTTATATGCTCAGAAAAGATATCCATAACTTTACCAATGATTTAAACCTGAGTCTACTGAATTTAAGCCCAGCATTTTTTACCGCTTGGCCTGCCTCTCCTCAAAAAGAGATTTAAGACCACTCATCATTTAATGAGATTTATACTCAGCTGATTGATGAGGCTGATGTCTTCGGAAAGCTAATATTATTCTCTTAATTTTTTTTTTTTTTAAAAACACGAATCAAGCTGTTTAATATAGTATACATTTGCACGAAATAAGTAATTAAATCCCTACTTTAAAAAAAAAAAAAAAAAAAAGTAAAGGACTCTTTCAGACATATCGACGTGTATTTAATGTAGGGGCTAGCTCTGTATTTTTTTAAGGAAAATCAACCTTCACTGGGTCTTGAGGTTCTTTTCATGTCAGCTACCTGTGTGGGTTTCAGGTTTGGGGGGAGGGGGCAGGTTAGAATAGACACCCCCCCCCCCCCAACCCCTTGGTAAGCATGTAGTAAAACTTGACTAATTTGGGGAGTTTCCTTTAGGGTCTGGAATGCATCTGCCTGAGAGCACAGATCAGTTAAAAAAGTAATTCTCAGCAACAACTCAGACTCATGACCACAGGATTGGTGAGAAAACTCAATAGCCGTCTGCACTAACTCGGCTCTGTTGACGATAGTTAAGTTAGTTGCATATCCTATACAGGACATTGCAGAACCAACCCTAGTATTTTTTCTGTTGTGGTTTTTTTTAAGGCAAATTTGCGTCCTGTATTTTGCCATTACTTTCTGGATGGGCGGCTTTTCGAAACCACTGTAGAAACCAGTGCAAAGCTCAAGGCCGGCAGCTAGGATTGAATCCGGCACCCAGGCTTTACGAAGCGCACACACATGCACGCACATGCGTGCGTCGTTATTCGGTCCTGAAAAAGTTAAGACATTTATTGTTTTTTATATTGTCTCAGATTCAATCACGGGGGCCGCGTTAGCGCAGTTGGTAAGACACTCGCTTTAAATCCAGCTGTGACTTGCTGCAGCCCACGGCCGGTGTTCGAAACCGGGTGGTTCTTGGGGTTCACCCAGCCTCTAGGTAGTAGGTACCAGAGTTAACATTCTGGGGTAAATGGAGGAATGTTGCTGTAGCTACGGAGTTGCGTTCGGACGGTGACACAGGAGGACAGTTTCTTATCAGCGGTCTGTACTGGTGGCAGAGCACTTATGGTTTATAAACGTATGCTTTGATGCTGGTTCACATCTCCTGACTTTACCTTTAGTCAAGTTATTCTGTTCATAACACTCCCAGATCAAGTCAAATTTTTCAGTTCATAATTGTCCCAGATTTAGTCAGTTAGTGTTTCTGATTATCACAGATTAAATCATTAACCTTTTAGGTTCATAACTGTCCCAGATTAAGTCACATTTTTCTGTTTCTTATTGTCCCAGCTCAAGTCATTGAATCATTCTGTTCCTAATGGTAATAGATGAAGTCATTGTCCTAAATAAAGTCATTAAATCATCCTGTTTCTAATTGTTCCAGATTAAGTCATTAATCTTATTCTGTTCATAACTGTCCTGGATGAAGTCAAACTTGTCTGTTCATATTTGTCCCAGATTAAATGAATTATTGTTTTTAATTTTCTCAGATTTTTTCGTTAATATTCTGTTCATAACTGTCCTAGTTTAAGTCAAATTATTCTGTTCATAACTGTCCCAGTTAAGTCAAATTATTCTGTTCATAACTGTCCCAGATTAAGTCACTGCAAGACACAATCAAACAGTTGGAGATTGAAAGAGGACAGCTGTATGAAAGTCTGAAGGAGCAGAGACATCTTTCTGATAATCTGGGAATAAAGATTGCTGATTTGAATGAGGAAGTTATCAGAAAAAGTATGTATTCTACTTGCATTTGTTACCTTAACATATTGAGTGTAAAAATGACCTTGTTTCTTAAAAAAATAAAATGTCTCAGAGTCAGAGATCATCTTTATTGCAATATGAAACAGTTCATCATTGTTCTGATCATCTCCATCGTCTCTGAAGGATCTCAGCACACCTTCCAAAATCCTCAAATGTTTATTAAAATTTGACTAGATTTATTTATTTTGAAATTCTGCCAGAGAAGAGGTTGAACAGCCTGCCTATTCTTTATCATTTCCAACTTCTTCTGAGTGAATTTTAACATACTCAACCTGCATGTGACCTGCCTTTGTATTGATTTCACAACCTGAATGTTAGCTGGGCTCGGATAAAATAATTTGCCTTTCTAGCTGGAGGCTAAAATCAGACTCTGCTTCTTCCTCTTAGCATTTACCGGCTGTAAACTCTAGTGGAAAGTTCTGGTTGTTCATCCACTACTGGATTTTGCTGTTGTTCCAGAACTTGAGTTTTGCGTGCATGTCTGTATTACACTCTGTATCATTTCCACTCTAACCTCCAAGTTTGTATCACCCCATTGTCTTCTCCTTACCTCTTGATTCAGAGGATGCATACAGTAGAGTCAGATATGATATTTTGATTTCTGCTCATGGAGAAGGGGGTTTGTCCCTGGTTTATGAACTGTATAGCAGCTGTCCTGCATTTACGTATGGTAGCCCTTCGCCTGGGTACATGGACCTTAAAACCATTTATTATAGCCCTAGTACTACCCTAGGTTTCTGCAATTTCACCGGTGCTCTATAATGTGTATACAAGCAAGATTGCAGAACTTGAAGCCCCAGGTGTTTGAAGAATATTGACATTTGCTAATGATGTTCTTGTATATAGGAAGGGAAGTGATAGGCAATGGATAGCCCAAGAGCTACAGACAACTATAGACAAAGTGACTGACTGGTGTGTAGAAATGGGTGCTGTAATCAACTCAGAAAAGGCGGCTCTTTTGTGGTGCTCTCTGGACAATAGAATTGTTAGAGCTAATATTCCAAGCCTCAGGATTAATAATACTAACATTAAAAGAGAAAGCAAACTGAGGTACCTGGGTATCATTTTCGATAGAAGCCTGTCCTTTAGGGATCATGTAGATGCAGTTGCGGTGAAATCCCAAAAAGGACTCAATGCTCTCAAAATTATGGCAGAAATGGACATGGAACAAATAATGCTGTCCACAATGTTCCAGCATGTGATCCTGTCGGTGATAGATTATGGACTTTGAATGCTTACCATATCAAAGAGTCAGCAAATGAAACTTAACCGCATACAGAAGCTATGTGGGTAATTTTGGGATGTACAAGAGATACCCTGGTAGTATGTATGCGATATATACTTGCACTGCCTACTATTGCAGATAGGCTCAAAGTTCTGCAGGCAAAGTCATTACCTCAGAGTAGCTGCAGACAAGAAGTGCCTCCTGCTTGAAGCCCTGGGTAGAGCTAAGGGTCACAGACTGAAAAGAGGAAAGTCTTGGATGGCGCAAGCTGAAGACACAATCAAACATGTGTGCGGGCTTGATAAATGTGGGCGAGGAGAGGAGTGGGTCAAAGTGTCAGACAAAAGAATCACATTTGTTCTTATCTTTAGGTCGTGAGTGCAGGGACTGGCCAGCTGGTTCTGCAGAATCAGAAGTTCAACAAATGATTCTTGAAAATTTCCACACAAGAGATGTGATTATATATACAGATGGCTCTGTGTTGAATGGCAGACAAAGTGCATGGAAGTTCAAAGCAAAGGCGAATGGACATCGCTTAATGCAAAAAAAGCCTGCCATATGATATCACAACGTCTAGTTTGAGAATAGAGCTAGAGGCAGTCATTGCTGCCTTTTGCTGGGTTGAGAATCAGCTGTACACACATGCCGTGATTGTAGCTGACTCACAGAATGTGTATCACTTCAAAGGTCATGTGTAGCTAGCATCTTTTAGATATTTTCTTCAGGTCATGCCCGTATGTTGGGAAATAAGCAGGCCGATAGACTGGCCGGCTGTGCACCACTTGGTGGTGAATTGATATGTGACAGCTAGATATTATGAGGTCCCTTTAGGAGCGAGTGAACATTGCAGAGGCACAGATAGATCATTACTGTCTGAGGAGAATGGCGCTGGGAGAAGTTACCAGGGGATCTGGCCGACGCTCAACTCTCAGGGGAAGGGCAAGACGGATATACAATTAGACAGTTACTGGTGCCATCGGAATTGGAACTCTTTGCTTGCTGCTGAAGATGTAGGACAGAGTCGTATGGGAGTGTCCCAAGTGCTGTGATGTTGATTCTTAATTCAACACTCTTGATTCAGTGGAATTTTTTTGTTGTTTGAGTCTATCACGCCATAGAATTCTCTAAATTCTGCACAGGTACCAATTAGTGAATGTTTTATAGTTTATTAGTAATTGTTTTAGCCGCTTTGGCTCTGATGGGTACTTTAAATTTTTGCTCTAACAGTGTAAATAAAAGGAAAGGACCCATTTCACTCCATTAACATGTTAGACATATGATGCTAGCTCCATATAAACCTATCAATATTCTATGGGTGGAGTGTTCATCACCATGCAGGTCACCTTTGATTCTTCAGATATTTTCTTGTACCCATTTTATGCTGGGTCATACTGTTTCATTTATGAGGGGGCTTCAAATGAAATCTTTATCAGTGGGATAGAAATAGCAATAACGATGCCATTGTATTCTAACTTGTCAGTATTGCTGTTAAGTATTTCAAAATGCAGACGAACAAGGTGATGTTGTAATGATAGTTTAAAGATAGCCATACACCTATTTTGGCAGTAATGTAGATAAAGATGAAGGAACTGATAGAGAAATTAAAATAAGAATACAAAAGGCAAGAGGAGCTTTCATAGCACTAGGGAATTTGTGGAGGTCAAAAGAAATTTAAAAAAATACTAAACTAAAATTTTTTAATTCTAATGTCAAATCAGTACTTTTGTATGGGGCGGAAACATGGAGAACAATTAAGGCAAATACTAATAAATTACAGACATTTTTTAACTGGTGCCTGTGCAGAATAGAGGGAATTAAATAGTATGATAGAATAACTAATATAGAACTTTGGGAGAGAACTAAACAGGCTCCAGTCGATCAAGAGGTGAGGAAAAGACTGGCCTTGGATAGGACACACACTGAGAAAACAGGAGAACAGTATAACTAGAATGTCTTTGCATTGGAACCCACAGGGGCATAGGCATAAAGGAAGGCCAAAAAAACACGTGGAGAAGAGAGCTGGAGAATAAAGTTAAAAAGATGGGGAGGACATGGGAAGAGCTTCATGTAATGGCAAAGGATAAAACGACTTGGCGTGAGTTGGTTGAGGGCCTATGCTCCATTGGAGGATAGAATGGCAGAAGAAGAAGAAAGATAGCCGCCTACTTTTGACTTATACCAAAAAAGGTAGGCATTCTCTTATGTTTTTTTTTAATTAGTGAAGGAGTGATATCGATATAAATTTGTCAGTGAATGAATTTCCAGCATGCCTCTCAGTGCAGCAAGTGTATGAGTGGAGGAGGAAGTTTTAAAAGGGAACACCGTTCACAACAGGGTTAGGTATACAGAGGAGTAGCGACCCAAGAGTTGATTGCAGCTGTTTTGAAAGTTACTACTCCGCTCATACTTGCTGGAATGACAGGCATGCATCACTGTACTGGACCTTAATTCTCTGATGACTTTATATAGGTTTCACTCCGTCACTAGTTTAAAAAAAAATGACAATATAACAAAGCACTGCTCCTCTTTAGTGCATGTCCAAAGTGGGAGGCAATCATTTAAACTTTCATTATTACATCACTGTTTTCTTGTGCACCGTGATGTTACACGCTTAACACTCTTGACATCCCTAAGAACAAAATTGACAGGTAACAACATTTTAACTTGGTTATTGTAATTTCTATCCCACTTTAAAGGTTTTAATATGAAGCCTCTTCGTATTTAAAAAAACAACACTCCTATTCAAATTAAACCCCAAAACTATTAGGTCCGTAGGCAAGCTAGTGACCACAGAGCTATGGCAGCTCCTTTTGCCAGTTTGTGCTGCTGCCAAAAACATATTCTTGCAAAGCTTATTTAACAAGGTGGAACCGTCCTCATGTAACAGTTCCTTTGCAGGACATCGCTGTCATCACAGCTCACCTGAAAGAAACTCAAGTCTCTCACCAGATCTGCCAACTTGTCTCACTTTCCTGCCAAAGGTGTCACTTATATCCTGTGCCCATCTCCGCGCTGGTCAGCCACTGTCTTTCTTTCCTGGCAACATAACTTCTGTTGCTTTTCTTTCTAATCCACTGTGGCACTTGACATGACCCAGATATTTCAGTTTCTAGGAGAAGATGTTGTATATGAGCCAATCTTCCTTGATGTTCACATCTTTTAGGATGTCATTATTTCTTTTATTTTTGGTGATGCTACTTTAAGAATGTTTCTGTAGCTTTTCTTGCTAGCAGGGTGGGATATATGTTTGAATTCTCTGTTTGTAACTTTCACAGCTTCTGACTACCAAGACACTGACAGGATAAGCCGGTCTGAGTACAATGAACTAAAGACTGCCATGGAGATGATTCAACAGAAATATATGCATGTGATGAAAGACAAGGCTGACCTCTCGGACAAGGCTGACCAGTTGGAACATTTAGTGCTGCAGTTACAAGGAGAGACTGACACTATAGGTTTGTCTTGTAGTTGTAGCTGCCAATTTATTTCAGGTTCCCCCTCCTCACCCTTTTTCCTTCGCCTTAAATATTTAGTGCTGCAGTTAGAAGGAGAGAATGACACTGTAGGTTTGTGTTGTAGCTGTAGTGGTCAATTTAGTTCAAGTTTTTTGTCTTTCTTCTCCTCCTTGAACATTTAGTGCTGCAGTTAGAAGGAGAGAATGACACATATAATGATGGCCTGTGGTAAAAGACAAAGAGAACATAATTTTAGCTTTAAAAAACACCAAGGAGTTTTTGGTGAGTTGTTTAGTACGTGAAGAGTTAACCAACTCACACTTCTTGTTCACTTTATCTTTTTCTGCTTAATTGCTGAACGTACCAACGAACGAATGATCAAACTTTGTTTTCATAGGGTTACAAATTGGGCACCCAAGCCTGTCTTACATTCTGCCCTTCTAAGCACTCATCTTTCAAACAACCGTTTCATGTTATCAATAATGCATGGTATGTCAACATAAAAATATACATAATGAAATAATGCATACACAGTCATAAACACTAAAAATATACACTTAAAAAATGGATATAGGGTTCTACTTCTTGCTGTTTTGGCTGCCGCAATCATAGAAACATAGTTTTGCTGTAGATGTTCTCTGATGTTACAGTTTCATCTTGTTCTTGGTCTGCCTTATACTCTGCATCCTTCCGCTCTTGAAGTGTATACTTGGTATGGTGTGGCATCACAATACATTCTCTCTTACCGGGCAAACCATTTGAATTTGCTGTTTCTGTAAGTAATTTATAATTGGTGGGTGTTGCTGTGGCGGAGCGGCTAGACAGTCGCCTACGGATCGGAAAGTTGTGCGTTCGCTTCCTGGCGGAGCCAGACTTTTTTCAAAAATGACCTTTGCTCCCAGGTCGACCCAGCCTTCATTGGGTACCAGGTACAGTTTCAGGAAGAAAGGCGGTCGGCGTGATGCTGACTTTGTGCCGATTAGTCTAAAAAAAATACAGGTCTAGCCCTATATGCCCTATACGCATTAAAGTGTGGAAAGGGGTTCTTTACGCTAGAGTTAAAAAATCTCAGTTTGGTATTAGGTTTAATTTCTTTTGCTACATACTGTTTTCAAACTGTAACCTTGATGAATTGTTACTTGTACAAAAACATACTGATAGTAACAAGAATAACTGTCTTCACTGGCACCCATTCCAGTTGAACAATCTTAAAGAACGGGTTTTGTGGAAGTTAATGTATTATAATTTAATATGTTTAATGATCATTTAAAAAAAATAAAATTGTCTAGTCAATTTACACAAATCCTTTTTTTTTTTTTTTTTTTGTAGTAAAGATAAGTGGAGTTGAAAGTACAGACCAAAAATCATGTCATGGATGCTTTAAATTTGTTTCATGGACCACCTCACACCCTCCCAGGTCTACCATGGGGCAGACTGATAGTTTATTATTGTTTGTTTTTACAGCTGTGTGACATTTATTGCCTGGCATATTTCGCTGTATCTCATTAGGTGGATACTACAGTAACAACTACATCAATGGAGCAGATAAGTGAATCGGGAAAGCTTCAAGAAATCTTCTCGTTCTGCCATTAGTTGATGTGTGAAGCTTCCGCGATTCGTCACCTGCGCCCAAAACTATGTATACAGAAAGATATGGTTCTGAATTTACGGTGGCCCTGGTAAAACAGGCAGTCACGTTTGATCGTTGTTGAATTTGTACTTCAGTTATAAAGGATTCACTTATCTGCTTCATTTATGTAATTGTTACTGTAGTATGCACCTGACGAGATACAGCGAAAAATGTCAGGCAATGAATTGTGCAATCTGTTGTTTGTGTCTTCGTTGTTAAAATTTACAAAGGGAGTCATTGTTTATCTTAATGTTCCTCTGTGTCATGATACGAAACTGTCCACTATGGGACAGACTAATAGTTTATTATTGTTGGTTTTTACAGCTGTGTAGCAGTCATTATTTATATTGATGTTCCTCTGTGTTCATGATACCAAACTGTCCAGCACCTTCTCTCTGATTCTGCCCCTGCCCCTCTTCCGCTCCAGCTTTTCTCTTGTCCAGTGTTGATGTTTTTGCCAGCAGTGTGAGCTGAGATTCTCCATGTGTATTTTGCAGGGGAGTACATATCTTTATACCATCACCAGAGAGCCTTACTTCAACAGAGAGAGTCACAGAAAAACGACTACATCGCCCAGTTAGCCAGGGATAGAGAACAGCTGCAGGTTTGTTATGTCTCTGTGATTTTTTTGGTGTCCTTGACTTGTTTGTTTTCTCTGTTACTTTTAAATTTTCTATGTTTTCTGTGTTACTTGTCTGTTTTCTCTATGACTCATTTGCTTTGTTATTTTGTTTAATTTCTCTGTTACTTGTTTAGTTTCATTTTGTTGTTGTCTGAGGAGTATGGTGCTGCGAGGAGTTACCAGGGGATCTGGCCGACGCTCAACACTCAGGGGAAGGATGAGATGGATATACAATCAGATGGTTACTGGCACCATTGGAATTGGAACTCTTTGCTTGCTGCTGAGGATGGGGGACTGAGCACTTATAGGAGTGCCCCAAGTGCTTTGATGTTAATTCTTAATTCAACATTCAGTATTATTATCCATCCAGGTTTGGTCAACATCTTCCTCTGACAGAATTTGTAAAATCTCAATTTTATGTTTTCATTCATCTACAGATTTCTCCTATATGGATGTTTCTTGTAATCTTTTTCTATTGTACTCTGGATGTGATCTTTGTAACTTGGTGTAGAAGGATCAACTTGATTTTTAATTTTGCCCCAACCATGTAGTGGTCACTGTGACACTCAGCTCCTCTGTAGTTTCTGACTTGTTATATGTTCAATGTATTTCTATTATTTATTAAAATGTGATCTATTTGATTATAAGTTATCCTGTCACAAGATTGCCAGGTTTGTTTATGTACATCTTTTCTTTGAAATCTGGTGCTGCTTATCTGTAGTCCTTTCGCTACGGGAGGGTTGATTAATATCCACCAATTATCATTTGAATTAGCATGTAGGTTTTCCATGCCCACTACATTTTTATAGGTGTTTTCCTATTTTTGCATTGAAATCTCCTAAGACAATCAATATTTCTCGTTTTTTAGCTTCATCTATGATATTCTCAAGGAGATCATAGAATTCTTCTTTAATATCTTCTTTATCTTCAGTGGGTGCATGCTTATTAATCATCGTGATATTTTTCCATTTTCCTTTTATTCGTAACTAACTGATCCTGTCATCAACAGCTTCAAAATTTAAAATACTTTCCCACAACATTTTCTTGATGACAAATCCTGTCCCTAGTTCATGTTTGTTTCGAGTGATTCCTCCATACACTATGATCATTCCATTTTCCTCTATGGTAGCCTGTCCTGGCCATCTTATTTCATGAATTGCTGTTATATTCATTCTGTATTTTGATAACTCACGGGTCAGTTCTTCAACTGCTCCAGCTCTATAAAGGGCTCATACATTCCATGTTCCAAATCTCAAAAGTCCTTTAACGTTCCAGGTTCATTGTCCGTTTAAATCCATCCAAAATCGAGGCTTAGATATTTGTTTCGTGACAAGATGAAGTCTTATGAAGGTGGGCATGTCAGCCTCACGCTTCAACCCCCAACCTGGAGGACCAGGGCGTCTGTTTTTGTCTGTTCTCTACCCTTCGACCTTTCCGGCTTGGGGGGTCTACTGGTATCTACGCTACTGCCGGCATAGCTCTCAGGGTCATTGAGAAACACAAGCTCCACCATGGCAAGGTGGAGACACCTTCGGGGGAGTTTTTGTCTTCTGTGTCACTTATTATTTTTTGTGTTACTTCTTTGTTTCCTCTGTTAATTCTTTGTCTTCTCTGGTTTCTCTCATTGTCTCTTTCGTTTCATTGTCTTTTTTACTATCCTCTTTTCTCTGTTACATGAAAAAGGGAGAGAAAAAGAGGAATAGAATTTAGAAAATAGGAACCTACTTATTCACACCATTAACTGTTAAATATCCATTGACAGTTATCAATCAAATTGTGAAACCCTTTCCTTGCCTTGAGATGTACTAGACATTTGGTGCTAAGTGCATATTTGGGGGGGGGGGGGGGGCAAATGGGTACTCAATGGGTATAGTAGCCAGCATGTTATGAGCCATGCTTACTTTCCAATATATAACCTGGCATGCATTTTAGGTGGTGGTGGTGGTGATGATGGTGGTGGTATTGTTGGTGTTGATGGTGGTTATGGCAGTCAAGAAGAGGGTGATGATGGGGATGATGATGATGGTGGTGGTAGTGATGATGTTGAATATGGTTGTGATGGAGGCTGCGATGATGACGAACATATTTGTGATGATGATGTTGGTGATAATGAAAATGATTGTGATAGCGGTGGTTATAATGTTAGTAAAGATGGTTGTTTTGTTTCCAATGATTTGTTTAGGACAAACTAGGCGAGCTGCAGGCATTAGTCATGCAGCTTCTCGGAGAAAGAAACATGTTGCACAGTTATAATGTGGAGAGTCGCCAGTCTCCGCCACTCCAACAGCAGCAGCAACAGCAGCAACAGATCAATAATGGACCGGTCAGTTCATACGAGAATGGTGAGAATGATAAAATAAGATTTTTTATTGAACCTTTGTACAGATTTTGATTGAAATAAGTATGCTGGGAGATTGACTGAAGAGTGGATCTGAGCATTTATGGACCGAATGATTCAGTGTGTAGTGGAGATGTTCTATTGACTAATGAAATGTTATATGGTTTTGAAAACGTGTGTGTGGGCTATATTAATAACATCTAAAGTGTTTGAAGTGGAATGGGACTGTAACAGTGGAATGGGACTGTAACAGTGGAATGGGACTGTAACAGTGGAATGGGACTGTAACAGTGGAATGAGACTAATAGTGGAATGGGACTGTTATAGTGGAATGGGACTGTAACAGTGGAATGGGACTGTAACAGTGGAATGGGACTGTAACAGTGGAATGGGACTGTAACAGTGGAATGGGACTGTAACAGTGGAATGGGACTGTAACAGTGGAATGGGACTGTAACAGTGGAATGGGACTGTAACAGTGGAATGGGACTGTAACAGTGGAATGGGACTGAAATGTTGCACCCAATATGGAGTAGGACTGCAATGTTGCACTCAATCTCCATTGTGAAGAAAGAACTATTTTTTATTTATTTAAATCGCCCAAGCTGATCAGAATATCACATGATGACAATGGAATAACTTTTAGATATTTTATCTGACTTTCCTTACCTACTTCACACCCCCTTTTCCCTTTTTACCTTCTATAAGTGTCAGTCAGTGGCTGTGAGGTTGTTAATCTTATTATCATGAGAAGTAAAAGGTTTGCAAGCAAGGGGTGACTGTGATCAGACTGTAAGAACAGCAAGTTAACAGGGGTAAAGCTAGACAAGAGGATTATGCAGAAAGCCAGAGAAGAAGAATAAACCAACACATATTTCCTGCTGTAGGTTCCGGTGCCCCATTGTGAGTGGGGTGGGGCAGAGAATAGACCCACTGCCCCTTGACAAGCATGTCGTTAAAGTCGGCTAATTAGGGACGTTTCTTTCAAAGTCGGAGTGCATCTGCCAGAGCGGCAAGGCACCAACGGTCTCTAAACAAGTGAGCCAGATCTGTAAAATAGATGTGCATGCAAAACTCAAGTTCTGGAACAAGACCAAAGTCCAAAGGTGGGCAAACAACCAGAACTTTCCATCGGATATTACAGTTGACGAACGCGCAGTAGAAAAAAGCAACACAGAATTGGTAGCGGTGGCCGCTACACCCTGCAGAATTACTGAGAAGGGAATGCAGGAATTTATGGATTGAATTGTTTGGTGTGCATTGAGGATGATTTGTATACAAACCAACCAACTAAACTTCTTATGTGTTGGTAGACTGGCCTGACTACACCAGCTCAGAAAGTGACACAGACAGCGAGGTGGAACCAATAGTTGGTGGCCAGGGGGCCGCAGCTGTCACAGACTCTGAGGTAACCCCACAGCCATCACCTCCTGGCTCACCACAGACTCGAACTTCCAGGAGGTAAGAGTTTTGAGAAAATAATGTACTGTTTTAATGAGAATTCTGTTCTTTGTGTAGAGAAAATAAGTATGTACTATTTTAATGAGAATTCTGTTCTTTGTGTAGAGAAAATAAGTTTGTACTGTTTAATGATAATTCTGTTCTTTGTGTAGAGAAAGTAAGAACGTACTATTTAATGATAATTCTGTTCTTTGTGTAGAGAAAATAAGAACATACTCTTTTAATGATAATTCTGTTCTTTGTGTAGAGAAAATAAGTTTGTACTATTTTAATGATAATTCTTTGTGTAGAGAAAATAAGTTTGTACTATTTTAATGATAATTCTGTTTTTTGTGTAGAGAAAATAAGTTTGTACTATTTTAATGATAATTCTGTTCTTTGTGTAGAGAAAATAAGTTTGTACTATTTAATGATAATTCTGTTCTTTGTGTAGAGAAAAAAGGAACTGCTATTTAATGAGAATTCTGTTCTTTGTGTAGAGAAAATAAGTTTGTACTATTTAATGAGAATTCTGTTCTTTGTGTAGAGAAAATAAGAACATGCTATTTAATGAGAATTCTGTTCTTTGTGTAGAGAAAATAAGTTTGTACTGTTTAATGATAATTCTGGTCTTTGTGTCGAGAAAATAATAATGCACTATTTAATGATAATTATGTTCTTTGTGTATAGAAAATAAGAACACAATATTTAATTATAATTCTGGTCTTTGTGTAGAGAAAATAAGAATGCACTATTTAATGATAATTATGTTCTTTGTGTAGAGAAAATAAGAATGGGCTATTTATTGTTAGTTGTGTTCTTTGTATGGAGGAAAAAAGAATGCTGTTTAGTAATAATTATGTTCTTTGTTTAGAGAAAATAGGAATGTTATTTAGTGATATTTCATTCTTTGCATAGAGAAAATAAGAATGTTATTTAGTGATAATTCTGTTCTTTGTTTAGAGAAAATAAAAATGTTTTTGTAGTGAAAATTCTGTTCTTTGTTTAGAGAAAATAAGAATGTTTTTATAGTGATAATTCTGTTCTTTGCATAGAGAAAATTATAATGTTATTTAGTGATAATTCTGTTCTTTGTGTAGAAAAAAAAAAATATGTACAATTTAGTTTCAGTTTTAAATTAATATGTCACTCAGGGCTCACAGTCAGTCCCTCCATTTCATTTTATCCTGTGCAGTCCTTTTGATATCTTATGTAGAATCTGGTGCTGCACATCTGACCTCATCATCATACATCATAGTTAGTTAGTTAGTTAATCGACAGATTATCCTCATTGCACATCGGACAAGTCCATTAGCTCTAGGATCCCATCTTCAGTATATCCCCCAGTGTGTGTGACGACTGATAACACTAGTTCTCTGTTGGTTTAATATTCTTCTTTGGCTACCTGTATAGTGTTCAGGTCTAGCGGCACCTGTTTTGACATGAAGTTCTTGTAGTCTTTGAGTGTTGCAGATTCAATGCTGTATCCTGAATCATCTTCTCGTCCTGCCTCCTTGAGAGCATTGAGATTGTCAGCCCAGTCCATTGCTATTCCTGTATCTACCTTCGCCCTGCCAGCAATCCTTGGGAACAATGTAACTAGAACACACTGAAATCCACAAGGGCATAGAAATAAAGGAAGACCAAAAAACACATGGAGAAGGGAGCTAGAGAATGAAGTTTAAATGGAGAGAGCTGCATGCAATATCGAAGGATAGAACGCCTTGGCATGAGTAGGTTGAGGGCCTAAGCTCAATAAGGGGTTAGAAAGACAGAAGAAGAAAAATCTCAGAATGGTATGGTAAAAGCTTTGGACAGCATCTCAGAGGGGATGAACTGAACGATCATTTGTTTTCTATCTCAGTACCTGTTTTGTGGTTCTTTGTCAGCTTTATCTCAGTATGTGCCCAATATATCAGCACCTTTTTCTTTTTCTTGTAATGGTTGATACCAGTAGTTGTCAAGACATTTATTTCATTGGTTTATGCCTAGAAGTGATGACACTGCATATTTTATTTTTCAGCTTTGACCAGTTTGACAAGCATAGCAATCACGGCAGTGAAACATATTCTCAGGAAGACGGGGAAGAGGCCGAGAACCACCCGCCACATCCTCATCACCACCATCACCACAACCACCACCACCACCATCGCCACCACCATCACCCTGACCAGCCTTTTAGGCCACCTCCTGAAGGAGATAAGACAGCTCACAAAATCCTGACACTTCTCACAGAACTGGGACACTCCCACCTGGTGGAGCAGGTGCCGCTGATTGACCGGAATTTTCTTCCATGCAAATTTTGTACAGGAGCTGTGCAAATTGTTTAGCTTATCATATTTTAAACTCTTCAGCGTTCGCTGAACCGTACATTGACCATGTGATTAAATTATACATACTGTCTTAAACACTTACTTGTACTATGAATGATACATTCGAGCATTAATGTTTAATTTATCTTGTCTAAAACACTTTATCATTCTTTGAAGTAAGCACTGAATGCAGTGTTCAATTATACTGTTGGAAAAACTTATTCTGAATTAACACTGTATATTGCTTGATTTCTCCTTTGCTAAACTTTATTCTCTTATGAACCACTCAACAGGTTGTTAATTTTCTTTTATCCTAAACTCTTTATTTTCTTATAAACATAACACTAAACTTATTGTTGACTTTCTGGTGTCGTGTAAGCTTCATTATCTTCTAAACAAAACACAATGTTAAATTTCTACTTTCTGCTAAATTTTCTTTATGTACTAAACATAACACCCAGTTTTCATGATTCATTCTGTTCCACACACATTAAGTCTATTCCGTACATTACATAATATTATTAACTTATTACATTAAAAATAAAAAATTGTAAAGAAAAAACTATTTAAAAAAACTAAGCAAACCAAATTAGTGGATATCAGAATAAAGGTTTTGCCCTTTTGGGTTCCGGGACCCTATTATAGGAAAAACAAGAATAGACCCACTGCCTTCCCAAAAGCATATCGTAAGAGTCGACTAATTGGGAGCTTTCTTCGAAGTTGGAGTGCATCAGTCAGATAGGCAAGGAACCAACAGTCTGCACACAAATATGTCAGATCTGTCAAACATGCACACGCAACACTGAGGTTCTGGAACAGGACTACAGTCCAGAAGTGGATGAACAACCAGAGCTTATAGCTGGTGAACGCAAAGAAGAAAAAGAAGAATAATGGATTGTAAGAGAGCCATCAGGGAAAACTTCAACACTAGGTATGAACTAACAACTTTAGTTTACAAGGCAAGAACTGAAGAACTCTACCAACATATCTGTTTCCTGCAGGGATTGTATATTTGGCCCCACTGTAAGTAGAAAGCTATAAGTTTAGAATTGCTATTTGTGACTCCCTCAGACATAAGCTTGGACCTTGTGGGACTGAAAGAGTTAATCATGGTTGCCACAGATGAAAGTAAAAGTTAAGGACCCTTTTCCAGCCCTTCAGGCACGTTGGGCATATAGGGCTAGACCTATTTTGCGGTTGATGGGGAGACTCAAAACTGGGTCGACATGGGAGATAAGGCTTTTTTTTTTTAAATCTGGCTTCGTAAGGACCAGAACCCACGACCTTCTGATTCACAGGCGAGTGTCTGGCCGCTACACCATACCTGGTTTTTTTCTCTTACAACAAAAACAAGCAAAGTCTGGCTTAATGAATTTTTACTAGTTTCACCAGGATTGTGTATATAATTCTTAATTTTCAATAACATTTTTGCAACAACAAAAAAGGGGGCCTCATAATTTTTGAAAAATCTAGAAAAGTTAAAAAAAAAAGGCTGTTTTTGGCTTATTATGGTTGATGAGTTAATAGAAGATATGTGATTTTCATCAAAGGAATTCACAGGTCATTCATCAAATGGTGATATTACCTGGCATAGATTGAAGGAAGTTGTTGGATGCCTTCATATTATACATATATACATAGACGTTATTTCAAAATGGCGGTTGTCTTTTTAAATTTTTTTTTTTATTTGGGCAGTTGATTACACAGTTGACATTGCTGAATTATTGTTGTGGGTCTTATTTATTAAATTTTGTGAATGAATGGACAGTTGCTTATAAAGAACAGTAAAGTAGTGTGTGATGTGTGTGGGAGACCTGTGGCGGCGCTGTGGCTGATTTGTTTGCATTCTATCAAAGCCTCGGATTTCACAAGTGAGCATGGGTGAGTGTGTAATATGTGTGGAGGTTCTGTGGTGTCCGTGTGGCTAGTTTGTTTGTTTACCAGCACAGCCTCGGATTTCACAAGTGAGCATGGGTGAGTTTGTAATGTGTGCAGGGGTTCTGTGGTATCCTTGTGGCTAGTTTGCTTAATAACAAAGCCTGAGGTTTTACTCGTGTGTGTAGGTGAGTGTGTAAAGTATGTGTGGGTTCTGTAGTGTCCTTGTGGCTAGTTTGTTTGCTTACCAGCACAGCCTCAGATTTTACAAGTGAGCATGGGTGAGGTTGTAATGTGTGCGGGAGTTCTATGGTATTGTGGTATCCTTTGGCTAGTTTGTTTGCTTACTAACAAAGCCTGGGATTTCACTGGTGTGTGAGGGTGAGTGTGTAATGTATGTGGGGGATCTGTGGTGGCATTGTGGCTAGTTTGCTTGTTTATTAACAAAGTCTGGGATTTCACTAGTGTGTGTATGGGTGAGTGTGCTGCTGCTTGTATCATGAATCATCCACAATGAAGGTTGGCTGTAGTGGATCTCAGGCAGACTGTCTCTTGTCTTGGCTAGACTCTCTCTCTCAGACTACTGTTCATCTGTGTCTTGATATTGTCCTCCCACTTGAATCGTTGTCGACTCTTGCCATCTTGCCCTCAACCTTTCCTCCGGTATGATTTTTATCACTGTTAGCGGCGATTTCAGTGCTGCTGTATGCTTGTGAAACATAGGCTGTATACAGACATAATTCAAAGAAGCTCAACCACTTTACAGTCTAACAAAAATATACTGAAAATCAAGTGGTAAGTCAGGGTCCCAGGGTCGTATTGGCTAGAGCTGGCATTCCCAGCATCGATACCATCTTGGTGCAGTCACAGATTTGATGGGCAGGTCATGTCGTCCGCTTACTAGACCATCGGCTCCCAACAATTTTCTTGTGTCGGGAAATACAGAAAGATGCACACTCGTGGTGGCCAGAAAAAAAAAATGCTTCAAGGACACCTTAAGAGCATCACTTAAATCCTTTATTTTAGCATCTGACACTTTGAAGGCTGCTACACAAGACTGGACTACATGGCAAACATCTATTTGAAGAGAGGCTGTGACCTGCGAGGCTTCAAATGACAGAGCAGCTGAGCAGTACAGACAGGCTAGAAAGACCTGTATAACAGGCCACTTACTTACTGACACTGTTCCCTCCCCTCATCCTGTATCCTTCCGGGCTTTTATTCAGCTTATAAGTCACCTCTGGGCTCACAAAACTCAACTATCGTTTTCATGACGAATGACAGAAAGAGTGATCCTGATCACTTGTGTTAGACGAACAACATATAAGAGTGTTTTGAATTTTAATTGGCCAAAATGTTTTGCGTGTTTCTTTTGTTTTTCTTTCTTTTTGTTTTCATTGGCAGTCTCCCCAAGGACCTGTGTATTTGTTTTTGTGTCAGTGATATCTTGATGTCACAGAAACATATGTGTTATTCATCTGTTTTGGGGCATCTGTATGAGGGAGGGGTAGAGAGAAAAGATAGATGGGGAAATTAGAGAGAGAGAGAGGGTGTGTTGGACAGACAGAGAATAAAAGAGACTGGAAGTTTAAAAGAGGGAAAGGGGCAGACAGTTAGTGTGAGAGAGAGAGGGAGAGAATGTGTGTGTATGTGTCAAGAATAGTGATAGAGGCGGATAGAGATGGGAAATGAGAGCCCAAGAGAGACAGTGCAAATAGACTGAAAGAATCCTAGGGAGCAGCAGACAAGAAATGAGAGAGAGAGAGATGAAATGGGGTTGATACACGATGCTATTTTAGTGTCTTGAGCACTCCATATCTTGTGGTTGTATAAATAATTGTTTCCAATTGTAATCTAGCAAACAGAAAATGTATAACAGCCATTTTAAAGAAAAGGGAGTAAAAATATTGTTTCCTTCTTTCTGGTAGTCTGCCTTGATATTTGGTTGACCCAGATCATCTTACGTTACAGTGTTATATAATACAGAACTTATCTGATGGATTCTGGGGATTCCGAATGTTTTAAATAAAAAAACAAACAGTGAAATATAGACCCTTTCCTCTTTAACAAACATGCCATGAAAGGTGACAAATTAGGTCTTTGCTGAAATCAGATTTGTTAGGCTGGAAGGCAAGGTGTTGCAGCCTAGCTGTGAACCACAACATAGCATGACTACCACCCTTTTAAGAGTGAACCAGAACAAGAAGAAATACCAGATAACTCACCGTGCGTTTATCAGTAACTCCACACATGATAAAAGATATCGGACTAAACAAAAAGTAGAACCATTCAAATCACCGACACAGACGACAAGTGGACATTGCGGCTAGTGAACCTTCATCAGCACATGGCATCAGTATGCAATTCTACAGCGAGCACAGACAAAAATACACAAAGTCACTTAACTGAAGTATATTGGAGAGAAACCACATTTCTCTCTGGCCAGTTGAATCTCTGACATGTGTGTGACCACTGGAAGTAAATACTAGCAATTGGGGGAAAAGGGGGGGGGGGATCTGTGAACGCCAGGGGCTATAACTTAGGAATATTAGATAAAACTGTTAGATTGCAAGTTTCCTGGACCGATTGGAGCCCATTAGATAGATATATGGTTTTCTTAAAATCTGATACAGCAGCTGTGGTAGTGCAGTGGCAGCTGCCAGCCCAAAGGTCATGGGTTCAAATCTGCATTGCTCAGCTTTTAAAAAATCCTAGGTCAAACCCGGCCTTAAATGGGAACCTGATAACGTCTTGGAAAATAAGTCATGCCCATGTGGGGTGCAGTTTTTGTTATGTGAAACCCCACCCTGGCTTTTACCGGGGGCCCTGAATATAGGGGGTGCCATGAATGTGGCCATCGCGGCTGAAAGGGGTTTCTGGGACCTCTCCACGGGTGATCCTTTTCCGCATGGTGGCACTTTGTGTCACCGGGTGTTTATCGCTTGTGTGCTGTCCTGGTGGGGTACAACAAGCAAGCAAGATGCCAGCCTAATGTTGACCACATCGTTCATCAAATGCAGATTGGTCTGTAGATAAGGGTCCGACAATTAAGTAATGAGACTCGTCATCATCATGTAGCAGGTCCTTTGCAGAACGTCGCTCTCATCACAGTCTGCCTGAAAGAAACTCGGTCTCTTGCCAGT